CAATGCGCAAAAGTAGTCAGTATAAAGTTCTGTAAGGCAAATATATACGCAAGTTAGAATTTTCAAATTGCATCAATTAACATCTTTGACATATTGTTATCTTTAATATATTTATAATTTCAGTTTATATTTTTTATTTCTTACCCGGATCAAGATGGAACTTGCTTAAATTCAGAGCATTTGTCTCTTGTACATATCTCTTAACCATTGCTTGCTTCAATCTGTCTTTCAACTTATCGTCAATCTCACAAGCAGGGAAACCTGGTTTGACCTTCACTTGTAACTTAAACCCATCGTTCATTGTAATCTTACGATCGCAATTCATTAACGCATTTGCAATCTTCTGATCATCCACGTAGAAAACAGCTTCATTCCCCATTATCTTGTACTATATAAACAATTTCGTTTTATATTTATTCGTGTCATATTAAAACATACATTGAACAAAATATTCTGAATTGAAATATTCTGAATGAAAGAAAGAAGCATTATTTACCATTATTGGAATGACTTGAGGTACCATATTCAATAGAGTATTTATCACAAACTCTTTTTCGTACTTATGACCGTATGGTATCTGCAAAATATAAATAAAAATATATTCTAAATCTACATAAATGTAATAAATATAGTCTGACAATCAAGTTCCCGGACTGAGGCTATAAAAAAACATGCAAAGATCGAAAATATTTATTAATACTATCATTCAACATAGTCCCCCCCTCCCCCATTCTGTATACATTTACATCGTTTATACAACGAATTGAGTACTCAAGAAAACGCTTTTTCCTGAATCCGTCTTCAATACTCTTATCAGTGTGTTAGATCCTCAAATCACGTCTCTTTCAGTGCAATTTTTAATTTAGGAAATAAAAAAAAATTTAAGGCGCTAAATCAGGCGAATAGGGCGGATGGGTTAACATGGGAATCTCTTGTTAAAAAGTTGCCGATTGTTGCCTCCGAATTTTTTTATGTCCGGGAGCTTAATTGTTACACCAAATGTAATTACAGAGACGTATACGTACAATAATTCTATACCAATTGGATTCTCCCAAAGGAAGAGGTCGCATCCTAGGACCTGGCTGACCTCCCTTGAAATGCCTATTCGGCATGGGACTATTCCTTCCGCGGGGAACGGTCCTCCAATTCCTATCGCCCCTATCTCTATTATCCCTCTGATTGATTATCACCTGCCTGGCATTGTTATTAGAACCGGTCATCGGAATATCCTCATCTAAACTCGCTAATGCCAAATTTCTCGACATATCCCTATTGTTTGGTCTATTGAGAGCCTTGAACGAAACGCGATGCTTGATGGGACCGACATGTGGTCCACCACCATCCCTTCCCATATTTCTTCCTCGGTCATCATGGCCTAAGAACAGAAAGTGATAAAGCAGTAAAATTTATACGAATAAATAATAATTTATTTTTATTCTGAAACAGTTATCCCGATATCTTTAATGTTCAGCGATTATTGATTAAACTGACTCATTTTGTAATACAAAATTTTGTTATATGCAGCAAGAAATGTTAACAAAATTATGTTAATAAAATTAGATAAAACCGCGGTATATAAAAGAAACATAATAAAAAGTTAATTTTTGTAATTACTATTAAAAACATTTGATTTCAACGAGTTGTTCTGCAGTTTCCAAGAATTCGTTTTTCAAGAATAATAAATTTAACATATTACTACAACTAGTAATCAACTTACATAAAAATATCTCATAAACGATTTATAACTTGAAAGAATTTGAAAAAATTTTCGAAGATTGAAGAGAAATCTTGCCAACCGTTGGGACGCAACAAAAAAAGATGTCATGAAAAATCTACCTCCTGCTCTCTGTGTTTGACATCACAGGGTCTCCCGAAAAAGAATGTCACGAAAAATCTACCTGCTCTTCATGTTTGACAAGGGTCTTATAGAAAGTCTCCCTGTTTTTTCATTAAGGGAGAAAAAGCATTTTAGCAGATTGCCACCCCTGCGGGGTGATTTTCGCCTGGAGACTTTGGCTTTTTGATGAATTTCCAGCTCTAACAATAAGTCAGATGAAACTAATCTCAGAGCAAGCGTTTTTTTCGTTAAGAAAAAGTAAATCTTCATAAATTTCGTCTCATCAAAAATCTTATAAAAATAAAAAATGTACATTAATTACATAAAAACTATTTTAACTCGTGAATTCTTATCTGTTAAGCGGTGGAGAGATCTGAGTAAACAGAGCCCCCTCACTTAAAATATTAAATTATTTCAATTCTGGTGATGAGCACAGAAAACCCGTATTCAGAAGGAGCGATGCTAGTGCATTAACAAATCTAAAATTTTATAAGCAGTAGGTACATGTAACGTGCGAACTATAATGCACATCAAAACGCGTTCTGAACATGGGCCTTAATTAATTTGCACGGTTCAAAAGCTTATGGATGTAGATAAATTATAATTCTGAAATTTTTAAGATTTATTTATGCTACAAGATAACGAAGAGGCTTAATCGTGGAACGGAATCGTGATAGAAGCACATTATCTATTACTCTTGAGAAATGTACTCTTGATACTTATATACGTAAGAACGTTTCTCTCTTTCATTCAAGAGAGAAAGAAAAAGAGAGAGAGAGAGAGAGAGAGATACTCATTCACGAATTAATTTAGGACGATAGTATTCTCCTGTAATTCACGTTTCTACAGATCGCCCGACCGACTCCATTAATCCGCGTCGCAAAGGAAAAAGCGTGCAAGCGTGTGACTGCAAAACACGCGACGCGCAAAACTACGCAGCTGTGGATCTCGCGTACGATTATGCGACGCGTTGGCGTTCATCTTGCAAACACATCCACGGCGCACGGCGGCGGCCTCGCGCATAAAAACGGAGATGGAGCGAACGCGGGAGAGATTATCGATACACGCACGTTGAATACGCAACGCGGATACTGCCGAGATACTTGAGTACGGCCGCAAATCATGCGTGGCGGGCTACAAATTCGTGCTGGGTACTCACCGAAGTACGGCTTGTCCTGATCGTTTCCCCCTCGGTGGTTGTTCCCACCTCGTCCACCCCACGACTTGTTCTGCTTCCTCGGCATTGTCCCAAGCGTTACGAATATCACAAACAAATACGAAGATCAACACTGGTTCTGACTCAAATTACCGAACGCCTAACCTCACTTAACTTTCCCTAACTCAAACTGCTCCTAACACCATGTACGTGCGATCCGTCTCGATGCCTGAGAACGAATCCCACGGCGGACGGGCGAGCGCTGCTCTCGAGATGGACGATTCGCCTTGTGCGCATGCGCTGAGATAGGAGCGCCGCCACTATATAGGCCAGGGGTTACAAACTCCTATTGTTCTTCGTTTACCAGTGTTTGCAGCGCCATCACATTCTTACAGGGCTAAAATGAGAACTAAATGTTCCGCCATGATTAAAATAAATAAATATGTAAAGGTCTGCAAG